GCTCAATAGCTGTGGCGCACGGGCTTGGTTGCTCCGTGGCATGTGGGATCTTCCCAGATCAGGGATTGAACCTGTCTCTTGAATTGGCAGGCAGATTCTCTAGCACTAAGCCACCGGGAAGTCCCTCTCATGGTTTTAGCGTGCATTTCTGTGAGATGTTGAGTATCATGTCTTTATTTGCTCTCTGTGTATATTCTTTCGTGAAAGTTTCTTCAACTCTTTTCCCTATTTTTTTATATTGGGTGGTTTGTCTTCCTACTGAGTTGTAAGAGTCCCTTGTTGAATACCTGTTTTGCAAAGATTTTTCTCCTACTCTCTGACTTCTCAAATTCATTTCCCTTAACTAGGTACTTTTAAAGAGCAGAAGTTTTAAATTTTAATGACATCCAGTTGATCAGTTTATTAGTTGTTGAAACAGAAATGTTGAAATCTCCAATTATAACTGTAGTTGAAGGCTGCAAAAAATTCTCATTTCTTTCAGTTCTGTCCTGTATTTTGAATCTGTTGTTACATAGATTCATAAACACTTTGGATTGTTATTTCCTCGTGATAAATTTATTCTTTTATTGCTATGAAATGGCCCTCTTTATCTTGAGTAGTATTCTCTCATCTGGAAATCTACTTTGTCTGATTTAATATATCCACTCCAATTTTATTTTAGAAAGTATTATTATGGTATTACTCCCCATCTTTTTACTTTTAATGTATCTGCATCTGTATTTGGTGGGTTTCCTGAAGAGAATATATATGTTGTCCTTGCTCTTTCATGCAATCTATAAATCTCTGGAGTGGTTAGATCATTTACATTTAACTTGATTATGGACATGGTTAGGTTTAAATCTACCACCTTATTTGTTTTCTTTTTTCCCATTTGTTTTTAGTTCTTTTAATATCTTTTTATGCATTATTTTGCATTAATTGAGTGTTTTTTAATATTTCCATTTTATCTCTTGACTTATTAATTATATTTTATATTTATAAAATGTGTGTAGTTGCTACAGGTTTGCAGTATACATCTTTAACTTACCACAGGCTACCTTCAAGTAATATTATACCACTTCAAGTATAATATATGAACATTATAACTACATGTCCATTCACCCCTCAAGCCTTTTTTGTTTTGCATTTTACTTCTACATGTTTTAATTCCACAAAACATTGTCATTATTTTGGCTTTAAACATTTATTTATTTTTTAATGAGGTTTCCTATAAGGTATTTGAAATTATCACAAAACTATTATAATTATAACAGTAACTATGATTGCTAAGCAGTTATGGTATTGCAAGGCAGAAAAATAGGCTATTGCAATGAGCAGAGTACAGAGCTTCCTACCAGACTCTACGTAGAATAAAGATTATGACAAACTGCATTACTGACTAGTGGGCAAAGGATGGACTATTCAGTGAATACAGGCTTCCCTGGTGGCTCAGTGGTAAATCTGCCTGCTGATGCAGGAGACAGGTTCGATCTCTTGGTTGGGAAGATCCTCTGGAGAAGGAAATGGCAACCCACTCCAGTATTCTTGCCTGGAGAGTCCCATGCACAGAGAAGCCTGGAAGGCTACAGTTCATGGGGTTGCAGAGTCATACACGACTGAGCATGTGTTACACATTCAGTGAGTAGTTTTAGGAAGGCCTGGCTGTCAAGGGGTGGAGGAGATTAAATTAGAGCCTCATTTTATACCATTCAATCATTTAAAGGTAGATTAAGGACATAAATATGGAAATAGAAATGAAAGTGAGGTCTATGAGCAGCAGCACCAGCATCACTTGTGAACTAATCTGCATTTAAAAATATGCATATGAATGTTAAGGAAGCACTGGAAAAGATGATCTTTGTGGAAATAGTTCTTAACTCAAATTGCACAGGTCATAAAAGAAAATATAAACTTGACATATGGGAGTTGAATTACTGACTAGAAAGATGGTGGCTTCTTGGAGGGTTGGTGGTTCATGCTGAAGGTAGCCCTCCCTGCAAATGTGTCAGCTGGAAGGTACTTGCTGAGCACCCCCAGCATCCTACACCTCCTGCACAAATGGCTTGGCTTAAACTAGCCAAAACAGGAAACGATGTGATGGGTAAAGGGAACCATAGACATGGCAGAGCCCAGAAATCTCACTGAGAAGGAGGAAGCAGCTCTGCAGGCATTCCAATCTGGAAGGGAATGAGAATCGGGCACTGGGACTCGGGCCAGTGTGGGCAGCCATAGTGTGCACGCAGGAGAGGTGGTTGGGGCTCATGACTGCCCCGCTATCCCATCTCCACCCCCTGCCATCCCACAGGATGTCTGCCCACAAAGCCCAGGTGTGTATACTGAGGGGCAACTGTCTGGACCTGTCTGTGGAAATGCTGTCAATGTTAAAGGGCTTTAACAGCTCCGAAACCAACACCCTTTTTGCCTCTCAAGATGATATAGATGTTCATATGGACAACACACAGGATGAGTTCAAAGAGGCATGAGTTAGTGCTGGTGGCTCTGACTTGACTGTCAAGCCCAGGCTCCATCTCCAGAGGGCTTGTTCAGCTGCTTCGTACCAACTGGAGATGCACCTGCAACCTGGAGCGCCCCCTTCCATCTCAATGGCAAGAGACCTAACTGCGGGTCATGGAGAATGGCCAGATCATTGCACATTTGTATTTTCTACTTTCTCCTTCTCCACCTCACCCAGTCTGTGAGTCCTGATCTTCCCCAACAGAGTGTGCGAAGACAGTGGTTCCAGCACTCACATTTCTTCTTTGATGTCACATAAAATGTCCACAGTGGAGCCGATTGAGATTGCAGAGGTGAGCTGGCCACACAGATGCCATGGGTGCAAGTCACTCTGGAGCAGCACTGGCTGAAGCCCTCAGTTTGCACACACCTGGGAGCCAAACTACAGGAGTGACCATGCTGGAGAAGGAGGGCCATCCTCTGAGACCAAGGCCACTATGCAGGCATATTTCCCCATCATTTCCTTCCTGATAGCGGTGGTGGAGGAAGCCACCACCAGGGCCCTTAGGGCAAATAGCTCAACCTCTCAGCTTGGTTTCTTCTCCTGTGAAGAGAAGTTTGCCCTAGGGTACTGGTTCTCAAACTGGGCACTGTGGAACTCATGGAGGTTCCAGAAGTTCCTGGAGGACTTTGGTAGGAAGCACAGAAACCCTGAGTGGAGCCCCAGGAACTCTGAGCACTCGTCCCCCATGACTTCCAGCTGATGCCTTCCTCTCCGTTTGTCAATTTTATTCTTATTGACATTACCATGTGATTTTACCACTGAAATAAAAATTTGAGAATCACTTAAAAATATTTCAATCTATCAAAAGAAGATGTGAGATGACAAAGCAGAATTTTTTTTCAGTAGGAATAACCAACAAGTTAGTATTCAGCATGTAAAAAGAACATCCCTAAATAAATATTCCAATAGAATACAAAAGATGAGTTACTGAGAAAAGACATCCTGAATGAGCAATATACAAAAAAAAAAAAAAAATACAGTCAATGTGCAAAATTGTGCAATTTTACAGTCAATTGTGCAAAATTACTAAGTTTTATTAAGATGGTCAACAAAGTCTTAAATAACTCTGATTGGAGTGTAGTCAGTACAATGACTTTGCAGATAGTTTGGCAAAAAGCTTATAAGATGTGCATGTCCTAAGAAGTAGCAATGCCACACCACAGCATATACCTTAGATACATTCCCTCGTAAGTATTGACAGAATTTATAAGGATATTCATAGTATTCATAGTATTTATAGTAGCATTTTATCAAATTGCCAATGAAAATAGTCACCACTGGTGACAACTGAGGCTGAAGAGGTAGAATCTTGTATGTTATCCTAAGGAGCTTTACCTTGTGAAACAATGGGAAGCCATGAGGACTAGAATATTGTTTTAGGAAGATGGCCCTGGTGGTGTTGGAGGGGGAACAAGAAGAGGACAAAGCTGGAGGCTGGGGGACTAGTTAGAGAATGCTTAAAGTGTCCAGGAGAGAAATGAGGCTGAAGGTAAAGAGCATTGGAGATGAAAGGACAGAAAAGAGAAATACTGACTGGATAAGGAAGAAAGGGTGTTTCTGCCTTGGATGGGTTATAGTCACCCAAGAGCACTGACAGCAGTCTCATGGAGTCACTTCAAAGAGCCCTATCTCCAAATGGGTCCAACAGGATAAATAACATCCAACAGATAATTTCAGATAAATATTTGGATTTGTTGGCTGGGCTCCTTTATACTGGTTGATATCAATTTAATATAATGTCCACCTCAAACAATGATTTAGTTGCTTCATAATAGCAATCAGTTTTCTGGCAGTAGTGTTACAAAGTTCTCCTAAAAGACTCAACTACAGCCCTTTTTCTTAGGATTGCTTAAAGATGGTCTCTGCTATGTCCTCAGACTGGCCCTGCTTCCTTCTCGGACTGGCCCTGTTTCCTCTGTTCTCCCACGGATTCATCAACTGGGGCCTATCTTCAAGTCAAAAACAGATGACATTGTTCATTTTGATTTTGGAATTAAAGACCATAGAATTGGTTGAGGTTTTTGTTGTTGTTTGTTGTCTTTTCATTTTGTTTGTTTACTCTGAAAAGTGAAGAAGTGTAATTATTAATGTGGAATAATCTACTTAATGTTGATGGGGATCGTAGACACATTAGCTGCCTGCTCTCATGCTTAGCTTTCTTTGGGGGATTTATCCAAATTTCCTGGTGGGTAACAATCCTTTCCCTTTCTGAGCCACGTTGCTGTTGTTTACTCACAAAGTCATGTTTGACTCTTGCGACCCCATGGACTGTAACTCGCCAGGCTCCTCTATCCATGGGGTCTTCCAAGCAAGAATACTGTAGTGGGTTGCCATTGCCTCCTCCAGGGAATATTCCTGACCTGCATCTCTTGTGTCTCCTGCACTAACAAGGTATTCTTTACCACAGAACCACCAGGGAACCCCTAAGACAACTATAAGCCTCAAGCAAAATGACTTCAGGTATAAGCCCACTTGCCTTATAACTCATTCTACTGATTCCCAGATGCTGATTGACAGATGAGCAGCCCACCCAACTGTAGGCAAAGAGCTTGGTCTTCTGGGGAAGATGAGTTTCCTTCCCTTGCCTCCATAACTACCAGAAAAGACCCTTAACTCTGTACAGTGTGACGTGAGGGTGTAGCTCTGGAGTTGATATACTTGTTTGTGCCTGAGTGAAAAGCCGCCATGTGGAACCCACAGAGGAAGGTATGTGGTCACAGCATTTAAGATGCTGAAGGAAGCTTCTTGCAAAGACAGGTCTCCTTGTGGATTTTCACTGCCATGAAACAGTACACTGCTATTATTAAGAGACCTTATGGGTATAATGATGTATCCAGAAAATTATGTGTAACTTTTGGGAAAAATCAACCTTATTTCTTTAATTATTTTCTCATGACAAGAACTATTTGATATATATGATTTCTTAACCCTAATACTTAGACACATGTTAAAGATATAAGTATACAACTCAAGCAAATTAGCTTCAACATAGAAGGTATCAGTTGTTCTTAACTTTTCAGGTCCAAACCATCATTTAACAACAATAACAAAATTAAAATGGCTTCTAAAATCTGAAGTTGATGTAGAAAAATTTATAGTGAGCCTTTAATGTTTAAGATTAGGATGTAAAGAATTATTACAAATATGTTGTTGTTTAGTCACTAAACCATGTCTCTTTTGCAGCCCCGTGAACTGTAACCTGCCTGGCTCCTCTGTCCATAGGATTTCCCAGGCAAGAATACTGGAGTGGGTTGCCATTTTCTTCTCCAGGGGAATCTTCCCGATCCAGGGATTGAATCTGTGTCTCCTCGATTTCAGGCAGATTCTTTACCACTGAGTCACTGGGGAAACCCTGTGACAACTATACTTTCCCATTTTATCAGGAAAGTGAATCAGGAGGAGTAGGAAAATACACAGGAAAGCACTTTGCTCAAACACACAAAAAATTAAATTTTAAAAAGAGCTGGTCATAAGAATGTTCAGATAAGTTGCTACCTCTTCCCCTCTTAGTCCAGTTTTAGTTGATTTTAAGTTGTAAAAGCTAAAGTTAAAGGAGACATGTGTTTTTAAATTGTTTTCAGTGTATCTTCAAAGTTATAAAGTAGTCAGTGTTAAAATATATCTGGTAGTTTAACAATAACATTTTGCTTCCAGGATAATGTTCTCACACTTTATAGCTTTAAGAATGTACTGTACTCATGGGAAAATGAAGGCTGTTATAAGAAACTGAAGGGAAAAGTTCAAAAGGTAGTCCATGACTTTTTGCCTTTTTTTTTTTTTTTTAGGTTTAGAGAAAGGATAAGACTGTTTGGATTATGTTGTTCTCTGACTTAGTAAAAAAATGCTAATGAATATATGTTAACCTTCAGGTTATCAACATTCTTGCTCAAGATAGATTTATAGTAAAAATAGACTACTGAACTGTCTTGTTAAATTTTAAAAGATGAGTTTGGATGAGTTACAAATAACATCCTCTACCCTGAGGTCAAAAAGAATATGCAAACTCAAATTTTTTAGATAAGAATACTTATTATAGTTTCAACTTTCATGCTTCTTATTAAAATGACTATGTAAGAAATACAATCTTTTATGGTTTTATTTTACTATATAGCACTCTCTGTTTTTAACATTTTCAAAGTACCACGTTCGTTTTATTCTCATTTTGAAAATTTTTAAAAGTACAAAGAGCACCTTAAACTTTGTTAATATTTTGGTGTTATCTTTTTTTATAGTTCTATGTGCACATTCATATGACTTGTGTGACTTGTGCACATTCATGTGACTTCATTTTTTATTAAAAATGGAGATTATATTTCAGATATAATTTTAATTTTTTCGTGGGACTAGTGATCATTTTCCATGTCATTATGTTTCTGGATGCAAAATATGGATGTTTCACACTATTCTGTCCTAAAAGTTTAACAATCATTTGGCCTTCTTCAATGTGCTGGACATGATCCCATAATCTTTTAAATAATTTCTCTATTGTGCATTTTACTGGTTTATAAAGTTCCTAAATAGAAAAAGTGCTCATGATAAGCCTTCCTACATGTAAATTTTTGATGGTATATATTATTTCCTTGGGATAAGTTTTTAAGATATGCAATGATTAAGGTAATTGGTGTCTTATTTCTGACTTTATGTCTACAAAAGTTATATCTTCTACAGGAGTTTTTAAGTATACACTTGCCATAATTGAATATATTCACTTTGTAGATCTCTACTAATTAGTATCAATACCTATATTATTATACTATTATATTATGATGTCCTTGTATTTACTATTTTTTTTATTAGATTAAGACAATTGCTGAGGCTTCTTATCCCTACAGCTCTTCACCCAAGCCCCACTCCCCAGAGGAAAAAATCTTGACCATTTTAAGTCTATCTCTGGTGTTTTAACTGTATTTGTAAATAATCTGGTTAGTTTTTGCTCATTTGGTCTACTTTTGACCTTATCTCTAGACCACCTATTATGGAATAAGAAGAACTAGCACTCTGAGTGCTATGTACCCATCCTGCTAATCTGTTTATACACTATTTTTTTTTTTTTTAATTTTTTATTTGTTGGAGGCTAATTATTTACAACATTGCAGTGGTTTTTGTCATACATTGAAATGAATTAGCCATGGATTTACATGTATTCCCCATCCCGGTCCCCCCTCCCACCTCCCTCTCCACCCCATCCCTCTGGGTCTTCCCAGTGCACCAGGCCTGAGCACTTGTCTCATGCATCCAACCTGGGCTGGTGATCTGTTTCACCCTAGATATACATGTTTCGATGCTGTTCTCTTGAAACATCCCACCCTCGCCTTCTCCCACAGAGTCCACAAGTCTGTTCTATACATCTGAGTCTCTTTTTCTGTTTTGCATATAGGGTTATCGTTACCATCTTTCTAAATTCCATATATATGTGTTAGTATACTGTAATGGTCTTTATCTTTCTGGCTTACTTCGCTCTGTATAATGGGTTCCAGTTTCACCCATCTCATTAGAACTGATTCAAATGAATTCTTTTTGATGGCTGAGTAATATTCCATGGTGTATTAATCTCTTGTGTTGTGTTTTCTGTTTCCTAGAACCTTCCCACTTGGAGTGTCCCATCCTCTTGTTCCCACCCTGGCCGGCTGCATTCTAGGCCTCCTCCATCCAACTCGTCCTGGACTCTCCCGGGTCCCTCTCCCGGGTTGCCTCTTCATTTCTGGGACCCCATGTCTCCCTTCCCTTGCTGCACTCGGATGTTTTAGGGGAGCTCCTCCGCTAAACCCAGAGCCCCTTCTTCAGTAGCAAGTCTCTCAATAGGTGGACCTTCACCCTCCGCTTTTCCTTCCTGCAGCATGACCCTTGTCCATCTGATTTCCATTTTCCACCAGCTCGTGAAAACCCCTGCTGATGGCCCCTCACCCATATTCCTCATGTGGGTTTATAACTTACCTATACCTCTGTCGTGGTAAATGGAGTGGAGGGCCCCACGGGCAGGGAAATACATGCTTTCTTCAAATAGAAAACGTGCTTCATTCACTCAAATATTTTCATTGACTTTACCACACAAAAATAAAAAATTAGGGCAAGATTACTAGAAAAATATTCAGATATGACAAAGCACCCATCCTTACTTTCCTCCCATCCTCAATTAAGTCCACACAAAGGTAAAGGACTGTGTAACCAGAGTAGTAAAAGGGACAAACATGGGCTGAAGAGGTAGGAATTAAAATGTAGTTCAACAGTGAAAACTAGGAAAAAGCTGAGCAGGGCAAATAGGATAGTTCTGTAGGGTTGGTAAGGATTCCCAGGTGGCCAGTGGTAAAGAACCCGCCTGCCAATGCAGGAGATGGAGGTTCAACCCCTGGGTTGAGAAGATCCCCTGGAGGAGGAAATGGCAACCCACTCCAGTATTCTTGCCTGGGAAATCCCATGGACGGAGGAGCCTGGTAGCTACAGTCCATGGGGTCACAAAGAGTCGGACAAGACTGAGCTACTGAGTACACATGTAGGGTTGGTAGTGTTCACAGAAGCTAGGGCAACAGGGAGAAGACAGATTGAGTCCTTGTATCTAAGATTGCTCCTCCTGGGTTGATAATATATTCTAAGCTGCACCATGGCACTCATTTCTGTGGAGTAGGAGGAAGCGGTGGCAAAGGAAAGAAGGGAAATATAATGGGGATACCATTTGCTTAGCCTGAGAGCCCGCAGCATTGGCAGTGCTAGATCCATTCTATTAATTGCATCACTCACATCTTGTAAACACATTGCCTTAGACCGCATGTAATAGGCCTTGGCTCCATTCAGCCCATTTATTGACTCCTCAAATGCCTAACGTATAATTTTTTTTTCACATCATTCTCATCAAATAAAATTCACTTTCATTTTTATGACCATATTTAAAACAGAGAATATCTTCCCAAGTGGTCTTGGGTCTCAAAGTGGCAGAGATTTTATGTGCTGCACGTTTGAACTGCCAAAGATCTCCGGCGATGTATGCATTAACCACAACTACTTAAAGTTCTGGTTCAGATGTTTGCTCAAAGCATAGGGCTACCACCAGAAAGGGTCTCAGCCTAAAAAGAAAATTACTCCAGTTATGCAGATCCATAAATTCCGGCTCAAGCAATGTATTTTGGGGGTAATAAACACAATTTTGTTCCTAATTGGGGAGAAATAATACTTACGCTTGAACCTGTCGCCTTCCTGGAATTGAAGTCTATCCCACATGGAGACATTCCTCTGTAATGAACACTTTTGCTAGTAAAACCAGTCCACAAGGATATCCAGCCAACACTTCTTGCAGAGGGCAGAGTTCTCTGGAATTTACTGAAAATGGAAAATTGATTACATTGGACACAGAGGACATTTATATTTATACAAACACTTTAGACAAGGCTTTTAAAAGCCAGAAATCACTTTTAGCAAGATTTCAGAAAAGTGTGGTAGTCTTTTTTATTTTTAATAGGTGTTAGAAGGGTTATTATATTGATATTGACAGCAATTAGGTGATTAATTGAAGAATTTGACTTGAAAGGATGAATTGCTCCAACATTGGTTTGTAATTTTTCTTTACTATATGCAGTTCAATTTTGTGGTTTGGCAAATGACCAACAGCCATTCATCTAGTACACATACCTTTCTACAGCTGGATTTTCAAATATGATTATAAAGTTCATATGACAGAAGTGTCCTGAAAATAAATATGTCAGCAGGCTTTGCTTTATTTTATGCATTTATTCTGGATTTAACATAACTTGATACAAACACAGACGACGTTCTAAGACATTTTGCCAGACCTGTTCAAGTACAGCATCGTTTGAGATGGTGGAAGGTGATTTAGAAACACCTGGGTTGAGTATTTCTATCCATGCCTTAAATCCTAAAAGCCTTGCAGTTTTTATAGTCCTTTCGGGGAAAGACAGGAACTACATTAACACTTGTTAGTATAACAGTTAATGCACTTCTGAGAAAGACTTTGTAAAAATTTTGAAAATTATGCAAAAAAAATTAAAGGGAAGATTTAAAAAGAATTAGTGTTTGATCAGCCTCTATTGTGGCTTTCCTGGTGGCTCAGTCAGTAAAGAATACATCTGCAATGCAGGAGACTGCCTGCAATGCTGGAGACTGCCTGCAATGCAGGAGACCAGGGTTCTATCCCTAAGTTAGGAAGATCCCCTGGAGAAGGAAATGGCAACCCATTCGAATATCCTTCCCAGGGAAATCCCATG